TCTCTAAAATAGTTAAATCTATAATAAAACTCATCGTAAAAGAGGCTATATTTAATTAGTCCCCAGCATATTAAGAGGCCTTTTATTTTCTGAAAGTCGCCGTTATGAAAGTCTTAGTTCTACGTTATTTCGATAGAATAAAGAACGTCGTTCTAGAGACTAACTCTTTCGACTACGTTAACGAAGATATTCTTTCTTAATACGACGATAAGGGAGTGCTTTACCCGATAGCCTTCTATAGTAAGAACCTTACTTTAGTCGAGTATAACTATTAGATCTACGATAAGGAGTTACTAGCTATTATTCGCTATCTTAAATACTAGCGTCCTAAACTAAAATACATCGATATCTCTATTAAGATCTTCACGAACTATAAGAGCTTAATATACTTCGCCGAAGGAAGAGACCTTAGCCGTCGTTAGGCCCGCTATTTGAATATACTATTCGAATTTAATATAAAGATTATCTATCGATTAGAACCTTAGAACGTTAAGGCGAATATACTTATACGAATAGCTAGATATAAATTAATCGATTTCGAGAACGAACGATTACGTTAATAGCATTAAATAATTCTTATCCCTAATCGATTAAAATTAAATAGCGAATATATCGACGTATATATAATCGACAACTCTTATCTATTATAAGATAGTAGGGGCTAATAAGAAAGACGAGTATTATATGGAAATTCGTAAGGCTATCGCCGAAAATAAAGATAAGTTTCGAGGGATTACTCTTAGTAAATACTTCGTATAAGACGAGGTGCTTTATTATTAGAATCGTTTATGGGTATTCGATAATATATATATCGATGTTATTCGAGAGGTATACGATTAATTATTCTACGGATATCTCGAGATAGTATATACTTATAAGCTACTTAAAAGGGAATACTATTAGCGAGATATAAGGACTATCTGTAGCTATCTACGTTTAGAATTACTATATCTATTAGAGGGCTAAAGCGCCTCGCGATCGAAAGTATAGTTTACTATAGCCTCTATTAATCCTATAGAAGCGATAATAAGATATATCGATCGACTTCGTTATAGGCTTACCTATATTCGACGACTATAACGCTATTTAAGTAGCGATCGATTAACTTATTAAGAAACGTTACTACGTAGCCTATTTCGATATCGATAAAGATACTATCGCTAAGAAGATAGTTAACTTACTACTTAAGAAAGTATTTCGCTTATATAATCTTATCGACCTTAATAATATCGAATCGAGGCTCTTAATTCATAGCTATTATATAAAAGTCTTTTTGCGAGAGACTAGATATTATAGTTAAGCTATTAATAGCCTTTTACTCTAAAATCGATAAATAGATCTAATACGAGCGAATTAGAATATAGAGCGTTATCTTCGAATATACTATAACTATATATAGGACGACTAGGTAAGATAGCTATCTATTACCGAGTTCGCCGATAATAATACTATCTTATCGGCTATCGATATCCCACCTTTCCTCGCAAATAAGGGGTTTTATCCTCGAATGACTTTTAGCTCGGATATTACCGACTACGAGATTATACGTAAGCGTCTCGATACTACTCGAGCGGAGGATATTACGAACTATATAAAATAAGTTCTTAAGTATATTCGAAGTAATATGGACCGCGCTTAGAAGGCCATGGTTATATAAGCTAATAAGTATCAATAAAAGATTACTTTTTAAATAGGCGATGCGGTCTTTCTAAATAGTAAGAATATTATCTTTAATCGCCCTTCCCGCAAATTAGACTATAAGAGACTCGATCTATTTAAGATTATAGGCCTTATTAGAATCTCTTATCGTCTAGAACTTCCGCTAAGTATAAGAATCCACGACGTCTTTTCACTCTTAATCTCTTAAGTCTCGTGGTAAATAACCTATTACTAGGATAGGTAAACCCTTCGCCGGAATATATCACTATCAACGGTCGGATCGAATAGGTTATTAAAGAAATACTTGGCTTTAAATTAATCTATGGCCGTCTTAAGTATAAGGTTAAGTAGGAAGGCCTCGATAATAACCCCATCTAGTATAATGCGGACGGCGGTGAATTCGAAAATTGCTAAGACCTGGTGGACGACTTCCATAAACGGTATCCCGAAGAGCCTCACCTATAAAGGGTTGACTCATGGGATGACAGAGGACACCCCGTTTTCAGTCGAATTGAAACCGTCCGATGTCTTCACGATAGCCTCATTTTTTTCCAAACCCGAGAATCGATCCCTCAGGCCCATGTCGATCGGGAATCAACTCATGCATGGCCTTCCGCGTAAGCCCCCCTTGCTAATACAACCCTAAAGACCTTCCGGAGCCATACCAGCACATACATGGACCACGCTATCGCCGTCACGAAACATAATCGATATCGGCTAAATGATATACCACAGAGAAGACTACACCAAAGTCATTTGATATTAAATTAGAGTTTTTAGCGTCTGCGGCTCGGTTCGGTTCGGGAGCCCTCAACCAATCACGTCGCATTATTCCACCGACATCTCATCCGCTCAAATACGGATTCGGAAATCGCCATTATTTACCCCTGCGCCCATGGACACGGTTTTCGCCACACTACACCGATTTCCTCCCGGCTAGGCTCCCTACATGCGCCTACACCCCGGCTAGCGACGTCGCTACAGCGTAAATACAAAGAGCTGCTACCGTCCCCAATACCTCTCACGGAGAAAGGTGCGATGCTGGGGTTCCCGGACACGGTTATTTCTTTACTGCTTTTACCATTTTTCAGGCGTCAAGCATGCATGCATACCCATTTTTCTACCTTTCCACTCACCAATCATGGGATATGATTTAACGAAGGGGGGGTAGTGTTACGAGCGTACCCTTAACACACCCCTCAGCCCTATGGCTAGCGGGCCTTGGCGGAGGCATCCCCTACCATATCATGCCTCCTTCCCACCTACATAGTTCGGTACCTTAGTTATCTTATTAAACATACCTATATTGAATATATAGAAGCTTTAAAAATATAGAGTAGACTAGTATAAGAGTGGTAAGTATATTCTTTACAATTTTCTATGAATAGCGCTAACAAAAAGTCGGAGGCGGAGCTAGATCAGCTTTGCCAAATATTCTTATTTTATTTTAAAATTAAAAATTCCCTCTTTTAGCGTTTTCCCTTGACCGTAGTTGCCACTACTGCCAGAGTTTTGGCATCCCTTAGCTCTGAACATGAGGCATTGATTTGTGATATTTGCGACGATGTTTGATTTGACTGTCGTGATGATGTTGGCCAGCGCCATTGACGATATTCAGGTACTGGAGCATGGAAAGCGAGATTTTAGCCTCGGAAGTCATGCACGACACTGTGGCATTGAGAATTAAGAAACAACAATGCAGTATGGCCAGTATATAAATGCGACTGTAAGAAAGGGCTTGAAGCAGTGACCCGTGAACTGCATGCCAGGAAAACATGCCGGGGTATCATGTGTTCGAGTCGAACTGGCTGTGATGGCATAAGGGCTGTCAGAGCACAGACTCCACAAGCAAACTAAATACAGTTCGCCCAGGTTAGGTATCTGAATGAATGGGTGGAAAAGGGATAAGCAGCCGCAAATGCATATCAGACCTCGTGTGGTGTGGACGTCACGACGTGGTGACGACTAAGCGAAGCAGGAAGATTGAATGGAAAGAAAAAGAAAAGAAAAACAGCAGCATCATTCACACATCCTGGATTCGAACCGATCAACTACCAACTATGAAAGAAGGCAAAAACCCCCCCCCAGACCTCTCTCAACTGACACATCACCTCACCATGTTCACGCCCAAGGACATGGGAACCTCCGTCAGATGGGAATCCAATGAATTGCTTGGCCAGGGGGATCCATCCGGGCCAACAGATAAGCCGGCCTTCCCGCTTGTCCGCCCGAAGCGTACATCCTGTGACATCCTGTCTACGAACCAACTCAGGAGCGCCCAACTCCACACAATGGTGTCGGGCTTGGACCAACTGCACCATCCTGGCAAGTGACAAGGCGATTCACTATTTCGAAATATAGCATCGTTGCGCTAGCTCTAACAGCGATCTTCATCCGCCCACACTTCTATCCTGCTTAGTCTAGGCGCCTGATATCTATGAAGTATCCCCCTTTGAATTACCTACACCATATCCACTACCTCTTAACCACAACAACTATCAGAAGTGAAAACCCCTGGAACCTGCATGCACTCTCTCATCGACCTCCCCAATCACGACAATCCATCTACCACCTCAAACCGCCCCTTCAATCCCTCCCCATCCAACCCCTGAGCTCCTCAAACAAACGTGTCTATCTTACGAACCTTACACAGCGCTTCCGCCATTCTTGCTCCCAAGCCTCTGTGTCCTACTCCCACCTTTCCACCCGCTACACCTGGAGATCTCGGACTCACCACCCCTTCTTCCACGGCTTTACAAACTCATACCCTCCATCTTGGAGTCGAAATGATCACGACAACCGGACTCATCATCGAACACCCGAGGGAAATTTGTAAAACCAAGGGAATTTACCAAAAAATCAAGACAGGTTTAGGGGAAGAGGCCGGAAGCGTGTATCCTACTGGCAGGAATGGGAAGGAATCACAGGCTTTTCGGTAGAGATGTAAAATTGCATGAAGCCGCCAAGTCCAGTTGGTTTTCCCAAGGGCTATTAGATGAGACCAGCCGCAAGACTGTGATGGTATATTGCAAGCTACTTCTCCTTGGGCCAGCGTTCTTTTTGGCGCAGGAGACATGCCAGCCGGACGCGATTGGTATGCACATGATCTGTGTTGGTCCCGGGAACCAGATGGTATTTGTTGGAGAAAAGGGTTCTTTCCCTTCTGGGTGGCAGGTTCGAAGACTTGTCATTGAAGATGCTAAAGTAATGGTGCCAAGCTGCCAATTCTAAGTAAACGTTCGCAGTAGTATCCATGCCAAATGACGTTACTATGCAATACCTTAGAACCTCTAGTATCCTATCAGCCACGTATGACAGCTGCTTCTGAAGCCTGGAACCAGCTAACCCAATCCTCCGGCGACATATCCCTGATATCCATCTCCACCAAAAGCTCTCTCAACTTCCTGAGACCAGCCATCTTTCTTGTCGAGCCAATGTCCGCCCAGGAACTGGCGAATGCAGGTATCATCTGGCTTTTTCTGTGGTGATTCGAGAGGGACGAGGCGGTAGAAATTCTCGTCGACTGGGGTTGGATCGCAGGAGCAGCGGTGGGAGGATTGTGGCGGGCAGTGCCTAGGGTGCATCACGGTCAGCTAGAGACATGGGCGGAAATGCAGAAGGCTTTGGCAGGCAGAGGCTGACCTGTTGATGTCATGCTGGTACCCAATATCCCTAAAGAACCATATCTCGCTCTTCGGCACGAACATAGCCACACTCAAAGTATGTATAGGCGCATCTCCAAACCGCTCATAGTAGAAGCCTCCTCCTCTATCCAACCAGTCAAAGTATCTTTCATTCGCTTCGCCGCGGAAGAAGTTTAGGTCCCCAATCTCGAAATTGGAGAAGAATTGGCAATTGTTGTAGTCTCCGCTGTTGTGGGAGTCAAGCAGCCAGTCCAAGTCGGCATCAGGGTGTATCAGCTCTGGATGGGCGTTGATGAACGAACGGGTGCGAGACCAGAGGGAAGGAAAGGATCGAGCGTCATCGAGGATGTTCATGTTGAAACCGTACTTCATGTTGTTATCGCGCATAAAGCGGAAGACGTCGTAGTCAATGTCGCAGAAGAAGTGGACCTAGCGGAGAGCATGTCAGTATGAATGGCGTTGATGGAAACATACTAGCATACATCCGGCTCAACCCGCCAATACCAGTCAAAATCCTTGAGCCGTGGATGCTTGTAGAAGAATCCACTATTCCAACGGCACATGTGTCTGTAGCTGATCATCCATCCTTTGCCCACACCGATAGCGCCCAGGTACTCCAAGCTGTTCATGAATCTTCCCTCGTCGATCCAGTCGGGCAGGGACCAGTGCTCTTTCGGCACAACTTCGTAGTAGCATTTGGCAGAAGTGAGGTTTTGCGTAGCGGCCTGTCTTCACATCAGCTTTGTCCTTTCGGAGGCGAATGCATTGACATACCTTGAACTCATCACTGAACGCCTCATCGTTGAAGAAGATCCACGGATAATTGTACTTCCGATTCCATTGAAATTCCAGCTGTCGCATACTCTGCATCAAACCAGGCAGCTCAGAGTTGCGCACCAAGCTGATGAGAGCAGCTTTCGGTTTGGCAGAGTGATGACCGAACGACGGCACCGACTTCAGCAAACCCAGTCCAGTGTTCTCCGCATGCTTGTTATTCGAGTTCTGCTCTAGCCAATGCATTGGATCAGGAGCATGTTTCCTCTTCGTAGGAACCGCCTCTGAGATGGGGCGTAAAACTTGGTACGGGTTCGCGACCTGTTGCTGTACCGTGATGTGGATCACTCGACGCCGCCATGTATGCGGTTGTGGTATGACCCAGATGAGGAGAGCCAGCAGCAAACAGACCACGACAGCAATTTGTCTCTTGGAGACCGTGTTGCGAACGCTCGAGGGTAAGTATCTTGGCCATCGCGATGGCGCTGGTGACGTCCAAAATGACGAGGATGAAGAGAATGAGCTGGCAGAAGACGATCGGGAAGGCTCACTGGAGGGCAAAGAGAACTTGGAGATCAAGGTCATGGAGGGTGTGGCGAGTAGCTTGGGCGATTTGTCCACGAACGGGTCTCTTCCTGGTGTGTTGAAGAGCTTCCATGCTGTGCGTTCCAGGAACCCCATCTCAGCAGGGTGGCACAGAGTCTGATTGATGATGCCAGCTCAAACGACTGAGATGGTGTACAAGTAAAGATCTCGCGTGGCGAGCTGTAAACATATGGCTTGGCATTCGCAGCTGCAGGTGTTGAGGTAGTAGAACACGGCAACCGAGGCAAAATATGAGAGCTTCCAACTCACTCTTCCCAACGCAACGGCATGGATCCCATACTTCCTTCTCCAGTGCACTCTCGAGGCAAGGAAGTAACACACAGTCATAGACGATGCTTTATTTGGCAGTTACGCAACGAGTAATTAGATTGATCACAAACCTCACAAGTACGAATTTGGCAGGAGCGACTCAGTTTGTCCTTAACCACTGTCCTCCATTGCCGACCTTTTCAAAATCGAGCCGTGGTGTGTTAGTATACAAGAAGACAAAATGCTCTATGCTCCTTCCTCGGTTCCCTGGATATCTCATAGCACCCGAACGCCCTGCTATGATGGTATCAATCTTCCAATCAAGAGATCATCGTGTCCCCTCCTTCCTCTTGTTCCTCCATAACTCCGAGAACCTTCGCATATGGTACAGTGATCCGTTGCAGATCGCGATTCTTGCCTGTGATGTGTTAGTACGAAGTGATGATCGGGAGGAAAAGGGCCCTACCTAAGATCAATATCACGCCCTTCAAGAGCTCTTGCCGTGGCCATCCACAGAGCATGTCAGTCTCATTGCCCCAGTGTCGATCCTCCGGATTCTTCGCTCGTGTTTTTGCTTTTCTGTCTCCTTCAATATTCTCGTAGATCCCTCCAAGCAGGCCCCGTAGTAACTCCTCAACTTTCATCTTCAGTCCTTCAACCCCGAGTCTTTTGGCATACATGTAGAGATACACCTGGAACTCATCCTTGGCACCCAGCATCATGGCAGCGGCAATTCTGTTTTCGAGATGTGCAATCGACACGCCTGACTCGAAACCTTCGAAGCCCTCCCGTGAGAGAAGCTGTTTAACAAGCCTATGGAGAAATTGCGCTCGTCCTCGAGCTAGCGTCTCGTTGGTGGTAGTTCGCTCGAGGAAGGGTATGACGCCCGCCGAGACATTGGAGCTGGACATGTCGTTGCCGAGGGCAGAGGTGGATCTCAAGTTCCCGACAGAAGAGTCCGTCGAGTTCCAGTACTGACTGCCCACCATCCACCATAGCTCTGAAAGGCGCTGCCAAGCGAACATTGACGGCGAGTAAGCGTAACCTTCGCCGTTGGTGAGAGTGACGACGATGCGACCCTCTGAGTTTAGGCGTGCGCCAGTAATGGCCGGAGCCTTGGTCGGATGTTCTTGTAAGCTATGAGTTGCAATGTCGAGGATTGGGGCAAGCGACACAGGTGGGTGAGGGGACGAGAGATGAATCATGTCCCACACGTAACAGAGGCCACCAGCTGTGATGCACAATAACCACTGATTCTGGCACTCTAGAACGACCGGCTGGCTTTCCATGACCATAGCGTTGATCAGCCGCCTTCCTACAGGCGTCCAAGCGTAGACACTTCCGTCTTCGCAAGCGATCGACCAGAAGTCCTTGTTTCCTGTCACCAGTATAGCGCTTCTGGGTAGGTAGTCCTGAAATACTGGCTGGCCTCTTTTTGTGACGGTGACACGGCAAGGCTCTTGATCGTGTGCCTTTCCGGTAACGGAGAGCTGCGTCGGGTTTCGAGCTTCGATCATGAATTCTGTCTGTGTAGATTGGTCGGAACCATTCGCGTTCCCTCCATTGGCTGCGACGCCAGATCCTCCAAAAGATTGCACGATGTGTGAACGAATCTTTGGGACTGCCAGTCTTACTTGGCTGACGGTCAAGCTAGGGTTAGTCACAGCGGGTCGTATGAAGTTCGGTGTGGGCTGCTGCCCTGCCGGTGCCACGGTGTTCTTTGCAGGTAAAAGTCCGTTGGTGGTATTCGACAATATGGGTACCGCCCCGTCCTGGCTTGCAATGGCGATTCTCTTCTCGACATGATCGTCTTCGACCCCTTCGACTGCTGCAAGTCGTCGCTTGTTGCCCAACAAAAGGCTTGCAAGGCCCCCTTTGGGTAAGCCATCGAACGGCTTGGACAAATCCAGTATGACTTGCGGTTGGTCATTCTGTGCACCCTGGTTGCTCGAAGAGGCCATAAGCTGCGTTCGAGGAAGTGAAGATTCATTCCCGGCGGATGACACGAGCAGTGGGGCTATGCGCTTCTTACCATCTTTCGTAATGGTAACGCGTGATTTGAGTCTCTCGAGCTTGGCTGCATTTGGGTCTTCCTTTGCCTTCAATGCTTGTCCATCAGGTTTGGCTGCATCTTGATCATGAGCTTGGCCATTGGTGAGAGCCGGAGTCGCGCTGGCTCCATTCGTGAGAAGTCCTTGAGATTGTACGGGCACGCCGTTGCCATTTGTAATGACCGCCGGACTCGGTCCAGAATCTCCCATCAAAGCGCCCATTCGACCTTCGACACCACGCATCTCGCCTTCCTTACTCTTCTCTTCAAGCAGCAACCCATCAGTTCCCTCAACGATACCAGCACCTCGTCGTCCAGCTCCGAATTTGGCTAGTGCCTTTTCGTTCTCGTCCAAGCTGACTTCATATCCGATTTCGTTTGTTTCAAATACCAGCGCAACTACGGTACCATCCAAACTGGTAACGATGAGCGTCTTGCCATCAGGGGTCCAAGCAAGGTCTGATATGGACTTGACAGCCAGCTCTTGCGTTATACATAATGGCCTTGGGTTGGTCGTGATCCAAACACTGAGAGCTTTGTCTTGACCGGCGCAGGCGATGACGGTGTGCACGGGGCTCGTTTTTGGATCGAAAGCTTTCTTGGCTGGATCATGTATTGTGAAGAGCCGGGGTGAGAACGCGCAAACCTCCACGGGCTGTTCGTGGCCGATCAAATTGATGTCTCCGTCCCATGCACCTCGATTGATAATGGCCACAGAGCTGACTGGTCCATTGACAGCATTCGCGGCTGCTATATGATTTCCATCTGGCGACCAAGAGCACCTCCGAAAGTATGTAGTAAGCGGAGAAGCGATGAAAGGCGCAGATATGGTCTTTTCGAGCTGAAAGTTATTCATCTGATCATGCGGGCCAGAATTTGGTCCAGGAGGTGTGAATCGCCAGATCTTGATCGTCCTGTCATCGCTTGCCGTTGCGAAGTACTTGTTGGCAGGGTCAAAAGTAAGGCCTTTGACATGGCTCTGATGGCTGACCAGCGTTTTGAGCTTCTCAAAAGTATAGCCCGACCAAACCACTACTTTGGAATCCAACCCAACAGTGACCAGTATCGAAGAGTCATACGACCAGCCCAGATCTTGAACATCATTGTCATGGCCGATCAACCTCCTACTTATCTTCCAATTCTCCACTGGCGGAGCTTCATTGCTTCCTGTTCCCATTGTCAGCCTTTCCCCCTCCCGCTCCAGCTAGACCAATCCAACGTACCGAATGTCGCAAACTCAGATGGCGGACTTGGGTCGATGTAGTAGATGCATACGATCCTATCATCTGACCCAGATGCCAAGTACTTCCCAGTCCCCGAGAATCGTACAGAGTGTATGGTGCCGGAGTGATTGCTCATCGAGCACAGCTGTTTGGGTTTGCTGTAGGAAGGGTCGGGGGCATTGAAGATGGCGTCCGTGGACCAGATGCGAACGAATCCATCTGGAGAGAGGAGTCAGCTGGATTGTTCCTGGTGATATTGACGGGGGTCCAGTCACCTCCGGCCGCTGTGACGAGCCTCTTTCCATCGGGCGAGACATGGCAGCTGTAGACCTCAAAGTCCTTCTTCTCCCCGCTATGCGTGAGCCATACGGGACGGATGTATTTCATGGCAATAGTCTAGGAGCTTCAGCTTGTGGCGCATGTCTCGCGGAACGAGTATAGTATACGATTATGGAGGTTGACTATGAGATCAAAATAGTTTGCGGAGATGTTGGACCAAAATCCGGTTGGGCTTGGCATTGCTTCCTCGCGCGGCGCGTGTACTGATGTGCAAGGGAATTATGAGTTGCAAAACCAACGAGATTGCTTGGCAAAATTGTTGATTTAGCCAGCCCCACCAAATTTGATGAGAACCTACTCAAATCACTGCAATCATCAACCACCACCCCCAATCTATATTGGCGTGGATAGCTTCAACAATGCGAGGTCGACGTAACGCTACGTTATTACGGTAATACGATAATACTACGCTCGGCGGGGTACTCTTTATAAAGGGGTAAAAATTGGTTTTTAAAAAAGGGGAGGAGGTTTTTTTTTTAAAAAAATCTTGATCTCGGTATAGGGAGGTAGCCTTCAGTGGTGTAGGCCGGAAGAATGCTATATGTATTATCTCTTCTTATATTATCACGGTATCGAGCTGGGTCACTAATAGGAGCATATGCTATGGACCGCCACATCGTTTGCAGCTTGAAGATTACGAGGATCACTGTGTTGCCGTAGATCTCAATATTACGCTCCCACCGGTACCCCGTTACGCAACTCGAACGGGCGTCTTTAGTTACTGCATTAGGTCGCCAATGAGACTTAAGGAGTAGTCTGGCTCGCTGGCGAATATGTATTTCTTTGAGTGGTATCGCGTATCAGCGGAGGGAGGGAGGGAGGGAGGGTAGCTATGGACACCTAGGTCAGTCAAAACATCAAAAAAAGAGTGTATACTCACTAGCCTATGTCTTAAAATTATTCGATTGGGAAGTAAGACGAACTGAGAGGTAGAGACTGGTGCAATTGTTGAGAAGTACGATCTCTACAAATTTTGGTGGGGCTGGTTATCAAAAAAAGAGAGATGGCGCGCAATCAATTTTGCCAGCAATCTCGTTGGTTTTGCAACTCATAAAACTACTAAAGTATGCGTTAAAACGAACGAGCTAAGTGCTTCCCGGCCATAAAGTATTAGCAAGTACGTGGCACCTTTATTTACTCTTAAAGCGTGTCGTGGCCCGTATCAAGTCGTGTCCAACAAGCCATGACTCGCCGCGGGCCCCTTATATTCAACTACTTTACCAGTCTGAGATACTCTCTCCTTATTAGTAGGTACCTATGCGCTGTGTCCTACTTTCTTAAAAACCTGAATCCTCAATTTTACACCCATAACCAGGCCATAACTTATCAAGCCGCATCCTCACAGAGCCACACACATACATATCTCCACCTATGTCTATAGAATATATCCCGAGCTCGAGATCACCGGATTGCCGTTCCCATTTGTGAAAGGAGAAAGGTCGCTTTGTGAGAGAGCATAAGTGAGCATCGAGCAAGCAGTAGAGAATCACAAAGGAACAACAGGGCAGCAGTTATGAACCAATGAATCTGAATCTTCCATGTTCAGCTATTCGTGTGTACGGCTAGCGCTATCTCACTTCCATACAAGCTAGCATTACCGCTCGGATTCAACTGAAGCAAAGCTGCACGCTCGAGACACCTAAGACAGTACTCTTGTATCCTCATGCTGACTCTCCCGGTCAATCGCATCCGTTGGAGCCTAAGCCGACTGAGAGTATTTGGTTCTCTCAGACACGCTTCCACGTCATGCCCAGCCTCTGGAAGTAGGAAAACAATGACTTTTTGGGTACCACGCCCCTGTAAGTAGACTGCCACACAGCTGCCCAAGAACCTGTGTCAAGTATCAGTGTACCTTCGCCCATCGCAACCGACCGCAGGAAGCGCGACTTACCCTCAATCGGTCCCAATTCACCAAACCCTGCACAGAACCCTAACCACTCCACCACGTAAGGCACCAACACTACCAAGACGCCCAGAGCAATGACCGTACAGAAGACCTCCGTTGCCATAGGGTGGTCGGCCGCAAATCCTTCCACCGTCTTGACAGCTTCGCTAGCCTTATCAACCGCCTCTTGCATTGCCGCCTTCATCGGCTTTCCGGCCACGATGACTGCTTTCAACGCCGTCATGATCTTCTTAGCAAGAGTGTCGGACCATCCGCCAGCCTCGTGAACGAGGGACTGAATGGTGGCATCTAGAGTGGGACCACCTTTGTCGGCGTCCAACATGGCCGACACGATGGACGAGGCAGCCTCGTCGTTGCATAGTCTCGACTTTTGACCGCCACGTGGGGAAAATTGAAGAGCGGCCTTTTCGGAAAGGTCCTGGTATCTGGCTGTTCCCGCGGGAAGTTGGATGCCGCCCTCGACGATGCCGATTGGGAGGCATGGAAAGATCGCCTTGAGGATGTTGGTGAGGCTGTCCATGTTGCAGGATTGCGGGGAGTTGTTGGAAAGAAGCACAAGTCTACTTGTTTGAGCTAGGGGGTGTTTGGACTCTGGTGGTGAAAGACTTGAAAGTGCTGTGTTAAGATGTTGTTGGTTTTAGAATGTGCAGAAATGTAGGAAGGTAGTAGTGATTAGCCAAGCTAAGCCCACTTAGGCCACTCAGCTGGTCAGAATGTTACCCCTCGTATCAGCACCCGGTATGTGTTTCCAAGAAATCACGACTGTCTTGAAATATAACAGACGGGAGTTTCTAGAGTTGTACATTTTAGGCTGCAGTCTACGCAGCACTAGAGACTCTTACATCGTTGAAGACTACATTGAGTCAAAAACATCTCACGTTGGGCGTTTCCTCAATTGCACACAGTAGCCGTGTTTCGAAGCTCTCAGCGCCGCCGCCCTTCGTTCACGTGAAGTTCTTACTATTGATTCATAGCTTCGTCAATGCACAATCTTTGAAGAAGTACCTTGCAAGGGATCGAATTATTTTTGTCGGTAATCTAATTGATATTATACGGAGACACGCCCTCAGTATCTGCAAGCCTGAAGACATACTTTACAGCACTCGCTTTTCCATCCTTCAGGTTCTGCAGAGCCCCCTGAATACCTGCCAACCCTCCCGGCACCACTTCATACGGATGTCCCTTGAAGAAGCCCTTCTGCAAGCCCCTTGCGAAGTACCGGAAAAAGGCCATGGCAAACTCCTCATTGCCTGTCTGCATCCCCGTCTTCTTTTGCCAGGGATCCGAGTCCGTCCCGATTTGTGCAGCACCCACGGTTGTTGTTGACTTCTCAACCGTCTCAGGGATCTCCTTGTAATCTTTGCCGGGTAGCACTAGAGTGATCTTGCCACTGTTGTGGTCCAACACCTTGCAGATATTCTCATAGCTACCGTGGTCACTCACGGCGTCGAAAGCGTATTCAACTTGACCGCCAGCATTCTTCACGGCCGCCTTGAGGTTCTGAACAAGCTGTTCATCGCCATCTCGGTAGTCAAGAACGACATCTCCTTTGCTTGGGTCAATCAATCCCTCCACGTGTGGTATGCCCCTTCCGGCAACGCAGATCAGTGGGTGGATGTTGGACTGTCGGGCAAGCTGGATGGCGAAGGAACCGACCGCTGCCGCTGCACCGTAGATGATCACAGGGATTGGAGTGGTGGTAGGGCGCCACGGTGGAGGAAGGCCGAGGCGCTGGTAGAGACCAAATGCTGCCGTCATTGCAGCTAATGGGATTGTGGCGGCCTCTGAATGTACGAGTCAGCAAAGCAACGTAACGACCGTGACGGAGACAAGCTGACCCTCAAAGCTCGTCTTCTTTGGAATATGAAACGTTGCGTGATCCCAGCTAACAGCATATTCGGCATAGCTACCACCAGGCGCCATCATCTGGTGAAAAGCTGCCACGCGATCTCCTCGCTTGAATTCAACCACGTTCGAGCCAACACTGTGAACCACTCCCGCAATGTCGTCCCCTTGGTTCGAGCTTGTCCCTGTCCATTGCGGCCGTTTCCAGTCCTTGGGGTTGGAGCCAGAAACCACGACTTTCGTCACCACCTGATCGGGTTCCGGGATTGGTATGGGAGAGTCAACGATCTCGACCTTTGGGCCTGCAGAGACAATTGCTTCTTTCATCTTGTGTGAATAAGTTGGTGAGAAGAGTCTGGCTGTCGTTGTAGAGAGGAAGCGGCGTGTGAAAGCTTGCAGCAAGGACATTGGCAAAGAGTATCGAATTCGTAGTGTAAAGTCAACATTCTTCGCGGGGTTGCATCATCGACGGCTAATTGCCGTAATGTCCGGCGTTAGTGTTGGTGGTGGAGAAGGGGTGCATGCAAAGAACGACAGCTACTCCAATCGAAGCTCTTGGAAAAAGAAATGGCCCCTGAGGTATATGGTGGTAGTGCTTCGAGTCTCGTCATTTCTGCCGTATTGGTTTCGCCTTGCGCTTTTTGAAAACTACCCCAGAATCTGGAGAGTTCTCTTCTTGCTTGAGGGACTCCGGAGGTGCATCAACAACAGCTGTCTGGGTCAGAATCGTATCTAGTACCTCACCGGGACCTGCAGATTCCTCTTTCTTGATTGCTGGTGAGTCCAGATCAGCCTGATCTTCCTTTGTTGCATCATGACTGTCTGCCTGCTCCGACCGGGACGATCGCCCAGATCCGAGGGGTTGCAAGCCTTCACCTTCTCTTATTACCCTTTTCGTACTTTTCAACAGCGTAGCCAGGTCATCCTCGTCAGCTCCCGCTCCAGGATACGTTCGTATTGTCGAACCCCACCCTCTCCTAATCACTGTTTCACCAGCCTCTTCCTCCTCTTCCTGCCCCTCAAACTTCCTCTTCCGTATCCCCACATTCAGCCCACCGAGTTTCACATCTTCACTCTCCTCTTCTTTCTTGAAAAAGTCATTATCGTAGACCACCTTTTCAGAAGTAATCTGCCAATCTCCCGCCATCGCCATCTCTCTCCTGAAATCTTCCGGAACAGCGACACCCATCTCTGCTAGCTGTGTTAGCTGCCTTTTTCTGTCTGCCGGTGTTGCTTGCTGATTCCCGTCCACGGATGGAGGCGGGATAGCTGATCTTCTCTCCCATGGTGCGCCTCCACTTTTGGAGCCAGATGCTGAGACTACGCCATTCAGTCTGTCGACCTCATCTTTGGCTCTCTGCTTGTCTCGCTCATCCCGCTCGTGCCCTTTGTGAAGGTCCCGCAGGAATCGTTTGAGATTTCCCTGGTGCTTGGGTGTTGCTTCGTGATTGGTCTTTTCGAGCTTGGTATCGCGGACAAAGGTTTTGCAATGTTTACACCAGTATTTTGGCTATACAGAGACTGTCAGTAAAGGCACTTGTTTGGCGGGGTCCGTTTGTGCATACCGTTGACTTCCAGTACTCCGACATTGCGGGCGATTACAGGCGGCCCACACTCCAAGGAATAGGACAATAGAGCAGGTTCTACTTGAACTGTCCCCTGCAGAAAGTCTTGATGTTGCCTTGTTGATCAGATCGTAAAGGAATAGAAGATATTCAAGGCAGAAGAAAGGAACGTACGAGGCCTGAGTGAATCTCCACACTAGCGTCATAGGGCTGAGTCGAGCCAATGACTTTCGCCTTCAGCTTCAAAAAATCTACAAACGATTTCGATCTTCTGTACGGAGTACCGAATCCTCCTTGACTGGGGGCCCTAGCAACCATCCACCTAACCAATATGGCACTAAGGGAAGCATCTAGGGGCAGCTTGACCAGAACAGCAACTGCTCTACTGCAGCCATCTCGACCACACTTCTACTCTAGACTACCAACCACTGCATCAACATGCCTCAATAGTACCGTGTTCCCAAGCAGGCAAATCCTACAGCCGCTTTCAAGAAGAAGCGCCTCTACATCTCCCTTCCCCTCCGCCTCCACCTCGGCTGCCCCGTCCTCCTACTTCCAACGGCCCTCCCTCCCTGCCAACACCATAATCCGCTTCGTGCCCCAACAAACTGCGTTCATAGTCGAGCGTATGGGGAAGTTCAAACGGATTCTTAACCCCGGCGTCGCCTTCCTCATACCTATAGTCGACCGCATCGCCTACGTGAAATCTCTAAAAGAGTCTGCTATGGAAATACCGCAACAAAGTGCAATTACGGCGGACAATGTGACGCTGGAACTGGACGGGGTGCTGTACACGAGGGTAGTTGACGCATATAAGGCTAGTTACGGGGTGGAGGACGCTGATTATGCTATCAGCCAGTTGGCGCAGACTACGATGCGTAGCGAAATCGGTCGCCTCACCCTGGACCATGTCCTCCGCGAACGAGCTGCCCTGAACACCAATATCACGGAAGCAATCAATGAAGCGGCAAGGGATTGGGGCGTCGTCTGCCTACGGTACGAAATCAGAGACATCCACGCCCCAGATCCAGTCGTGAAGGCCATGCACAGACAAGTCACTGCGGAACGAAGCAAGAGGGCCGAGATTCTGGAGAGTGAAGGACAGAGACAAAGCGCCATCAATATCGCCGAAGGAAGGAAACAGAGCGTCATTCTTGCCTCCGAGGCATTGAAGAGCGAACAGATCAACATGGCGACCGGAGAGGCAGAGGCCATACTAGTCAGAGCGAACGCTACAGCAAGAGGCATCGACGCCGTAGCCGGCAGTTTGAATCAAGGCCAAGAAGCCGCTCGCGGAGCAGTAAGTCTGAGCGTAGCGGAGAAATACGTCGAGGCTTTCGGGCGCCTGGCGAAAGAGGGCACGGCGGTCGTGGTGCCGGGCAATGTAGGGGACATGGGCGGCATGATAGCGAGTGCGATGGCTGTGTATGGGAAGATTAGCGAAGGGCAGGCGAAGAGTATGGCCAAGGGGATGATTCAGGCGCCTGAAAGTCCAGAATCTACAGCCAAAAGTGCAGCGGATGCGACTGTGGATGCAGCGATGGGGAAGACGGATGAGGTGGCGAAGAGTGTGCTGCAGGGGTTTGAGGATACGAGGTGGAAGCGATAGGGAGTCGGTTTCACAGTGAGAGGCTTGCTCGGTCTTGTATGAATAGGGACAAAAACTTCTACTTAATCTTCGAAACAGGCGGGTATCAGAGCATCTCTTCGAAACAGTACAGCATAGATAACTATCAGAGCTCTCTCAGAAGAAGAAAAAAAGTACAGCAAACCAAACCAAACAAACATGACGATTCCCAACAACTCCAGCAGACCGACCAACCTCACACGAGCCTATTCTTTCTCCTCTGCCTCTCCCTAGCCTCAACCTCCACTTTGTTAGCCAAAGCCTGCTGCCTCTCCGCATCAGCGATTTCTTTTACCGTCTTCGATTCATTCTTCGCTGCAGCCAGCTGTTTCCTCGGCTCCGTTTCTCGCATCAGGCTCTGTTGTGACTCCAAAGTCTTCTTATCAGCCAAGTCTCGTTTCTTCTTCGCTTCCGCTTCTTTCTTGGCCAGTCCGATTCTTCTCCTCTGTCTGAAGGCCGCCATAAGACCCCTCGGCTGGCTTCGGAGCCTCTTCACTGTTTCCGACGTCGGTTCTTTCGGGACCTTATCGGTCAAAGACTCTGTGTGTTTAGGGTAGATTTCCGTGCTTTCGTCGACCGTCTTTGGCTGGTCTGACGTTAGCGGCGCCTGGGATGTGTTTTGAAGAAGCTTTGGCTCCTTCGGCGGACGTTCTGGGACGATGGCAAGCCCTGGAGTTGGTCGGCGAGTATGGGGAGCGAGGATCAATCGTTGGGCAGGCAGTGCGCCTGGCGAGGAGGCCCGGCGTTTACCATTGAATGTGGGATCCTGTCGCTTTGGGCTTTCGGGGAGCTGCTCCCGTTCAATCACAGCTTCCTCGATAACTTTTTCGTCCTTTGGCCGCTGTTCTTCCATGCTACCGGCCGCCTTTATCCGCTTCTTTTTTGCGGGTTGTGCGTGTGCTAGAGCAACGGCCTCTGCCAGCTCTTCTCTGGCGACCCTCTGCTCTTCGCTTTGCGACATGGTAGTGAACGAGTTGATGTACATGGAGGTAGCTCCGTCTCTTGGGACTTTAAAGATGCGCCAATCCTGTAAGTTGAAGGAACGTTGCCACGTACTCATTTGGAAAAGCTTCTCGATGTAGCGCATGGATATCGTATTCCATATCCTCCTTTCCGGATCATTTTCTGTCCCTCGAAGAGGCCAGTCAGAGACACCGATGCCGTGCGAACCGTCAACTCTGTTGTTTATAGGGGCAATGTGACAACCAAACATGGTCTCTTCCCAAGCTCTGCCGCATTCAGATTCTTGCCAGTCGAGCCAATAGACTTCTTTGTAGTAACGCGAGGTGTGCCAGTCCAACCACTGTTCTGCGCGATTCTTCATGTGCATACCTTCGATGGAGTGAGCCTGCACAATGTTAGCATGTTCTCAGAAGAGAGGTCTCAAGATATGAGACAGGATGAAGACTTACCAATTCATGGATTATCAAGACCGCGAACAGGAAGTTAAACCGCAGCTTCTGCGAAACCTCTTGATACTTTAATTGGCTCAGCTTCTTCGCAATAATGTAATAATCAGCGTGTATTCTGATGACCGAGCGCACGAGATCGCCTTTTAATCCGTGATAGTCTCTTTCAATCCCTTTATAGTCGCAAATTGGAATTGACGTCCCCCAGGCACCAAACTCCTCGTATGCGAATCCATCCACCTTATGTTTGAATGTAAAATGAATCAGATTCGACTTTCCAATAGCGTTGATATGTTCGATGACGGTTCTGGCTCTTTCTTCAGTCAGTTCGACATGGTTATCAATCCGTTGGGAGAGCTTGCCATTTCTGGACGTCATTTCAGGATCGTCTCTTCGATTGCCCATTGCTAGAGTCACCCAGAACTGCATGCAGATCTTTTGCGTCAGAAACATGGTTGCCAACTGTAAACCAGGTATGAGCTGGTCATATATTGCGTCTGGGGTATCATCGAAGTTTGACCTGTCAAAGATAGGATGAATGTCATTGGTGAGAGTTGACTGCCTGCATCCCTCAAGATGCACAGCGCCGTTCTGATTCACTTCTTGAGCCCGGAAGCCGTGTCGTTCTTTTCGCCACTGCTTCCTGGATTGTTTCGGCAAAACACCTTCTCTTTTCCGCTTCTTGACATGGTCCCTGACTTCGCCTCGCGTTTCATAGAACCTCGAGGGCTTGATTTCATTCTCGACAAGATAGCCTCTTGGCACCATTACTGATTGTGGGCTTTTCGTTGCCATATCTTTGATCACGACGCTTTCATTGATCCTCATCATCAAAGCTTCAACCTCTGGATCAAGTTGAGTAACGAACGAAGACTGTGGTAATCCATTGCCAGTCTCGTGCAACGCCTGATTCCGGTGTTCTTGGGCAAAACCTCTAGTAGCGGGAATATCGTCCTCAGAATCACTAGACTCGGAGAACAAAGTCTGCGACTTCCCGCTCACTGAGGAGGCTGTCGATGTTGTAGATCGATACGCGCCAGCTTCGACCTGGAGCTTCAAGCTCATATCTATTCGTGTTCCTGTTCCTCTATTTGGAGGGAGGCGAATGTCACGTGGTCGTAGACGGTCGAAAATGGTAATACGAGGGAAGGATAGAGCGTTGTTGTGAAGCGTGGAGATCGCAGGACTGCGAGAAATGCAAAGGCTCGCCATCCTTTATGTTTTGAGGACTTCTATCCAAGGAACAAAGTATTGTGCTCGAGTCAGAGCCTTTGTGTCGTCGCTCTTGTGTTGTCGCGCTTTAACACAGGACATAATGCGACAGCCGAAAAGGTACAATCCCGCTGAGATGAGGAAAGTAATTGTGTCAGGTGGCGAGAATCGTCACTTCACCACTCAATGGTGACTGAGGTAGCAAGGCACCACAGGCTGTGATCCTGAAGGAGCGGCAATTTTACACCAAGAACGACCAGCCTCTACACATGAGATCCTTCAACACATGTCAAATAGCACGGCCTCGGCTGTTCAAAACTCAGAAGCTGCCAGAAGGGTTCAACACTTCGATAGCTCTCAAGTGGAGGTTTTGACAGGATTCTTGGAGAGTGTAGGCCGCGATACTCAATCGTCTTCGTCGGAGCTATAGCCTGCCAGACCTAGACCTAGAGTACCTGGTGGCTTAGGACTCACGCTATTCTCTTGCTTAGGAGAAACCTTTGTAGTGATGGTTTCTGGTGGAGGAGGAGGTGGATGTGATGCGGAGACTCCAAAACTGGCTTTCTCCGTCGACGCGGTCTCAGGAGCAGTACCCTGAGGCTCTACAGGTTCTCTATAGCCCGCTTCCGTCCTCGAAACGGCCAGAGCTTCGCGTGTAGATGAGGCTTTCCTCAGCCCAACAGGTGTCTCGCCGGTAGATGAGCTCTTCCGTAGCTTCAAGCCCTTCAACCCTGCCCTATCGTTCTCCTTTTGTCCTTTTTCGTTTCCTCGCATTCACAGCCCACGCTGACTGTGATTCCCGGGCCGTAGGACTGCCAGCCTTTCCATCAACCTCCTCTCCACCCTCTAGTAGCTCTCTATCCTTTTCCTCCTGCTGTCTCCTGAATAGGTCTAGCTGCTCGCTGGTCTCCTTCTTGACCTCCTCCTCTTTCTTCCTTGTAGACTCGAGCACTGAATCCAGAAACTCGACTTCGTCTTCATCCAAGTTACGGAATTGGTTTCTGAGCTTGATGGACTCTTGGAAGGCTTCTTCTTTGGCGGCTAGAATGGACAAACAACACCTGACATGTCAGCCTAATCGTTCCCCAAGGATGTGTATGGTTTGACCTAGGATCAGTGATAGTCACCCTTATTCCCCTGCAACACCTCGTACAGCGTCTTCCCACCCTCGTGCCTGCTCTCTGCTTCTTTGCGACGACGGTTGGCTTCGATCTCTTGTTGAGCTTTTAGCCATTCATCGTCACGCTCTATGGGGGCGTCGGTGGTTCCGCAGGAAACGAAGCCTGAGGACATTATAGGTGGAAGGTGAAGGGGGAATGAAGGGAGGAACGAGTAAGGATTTAATGCCTTGGTTATGCCTTGGTGATGCCTGGGTTCAGGCAATGTTTTGAAGGGAACTATTGCAATATTCTGTGGGTCAGAGAGATTGAACAAGCTTTTATTTAGTCTTGGCGCGAAGCCCCTGGTTCCGTCCTTCGGTCGGGACTGGGGCTGCCCAAGGCTGCCGTCTATTGGGTACACTTCCACTCAAACTTGCCAAATCTTTGGGGACTTGTGCCCTAAACCCCACCTACGGTCTACCCTGAAATTCGGTTAATCAGCATGCGCCACAAGAATTGGTCTGACTGCGAACAATTTTTGGCGCATAGGAAAAACAGCTTCATCAATTCAGCCAATACCCAGTGATAAAATCCACATCCTCCTTCAACCACTTCTCCACCATCGTTGCATCTCCATCGAACCCATGATCCTCAGGTCTCACATCCAACCTAATTCCACTCCCTGGAAACTTCTTCTTCAGCGCTTCCACAAATCGCACACTCCCGGCAACCGGCGTCACTGAATCCTCGCTCTCATGCACTATTATTACCGGCGGAAATGTCTCCATCAGCGCCACCATCTCTACAGGAAACAGTTCCTTGCTCTCCCCGGGGAACTCTACCATCCGCCCGTTCTGCACCATGGAATACGCAATGTCCAGTCTTGAAGGTAGATATGCACTCGTCAGTACCGCCCCGGGAGCAACAGCCGCAACGTGCGCATCCACAATTACAGTCGGCAGCATTGGCATCCCGAGCGATAGTTTCTCAAATCTGGTGTTGAAGTAACGATCGCGTATGTCCAGTTGCGGGTAGAGGTCTATGACAGCTGTGATGCTGCCGGGGGCTGCGTGAGGGCGGATTGCATGGCTAGCCAGTCGCCCGAGCTATCGTCCACGACGAGAATGTGGGCGAGGTCAATTCACGGTGCCACCGGTGCCTTATGGGAGAGGACGGATTGTAAATCGCTGTGCAACCATCTTCACAAATCAAATGTGTCGATTAGGATGTCAGTGCCAGTAGCTTCGGGGATGAAACGGTAATCTGCGGAGACGATGATACCGCCGTTGAGGAGTGCGAGGTCGAGGATCCAGTTTGCGAAGAAAAGGGGGATGAGTGAGGCGCCGGTTACCTGTTTTGTATATGTAGGTGAAGTGACTAGGAGTTTTGTACTTGAAATGAGAATGATGAGGTGGTTAGTTTGATTTAGAAATTGCTGACCAAAAACCGCCATGGAAGCGGACTACCAAGGAATGGTTCTTAGTTCCTGCCTTCAGGTCTTTGGTACCAGGATGTCGACGCCGATGGGGGTCTCATTGACGGCTTTGTCATGTATTGTGCTGATGCAAGTCCATATCTGGTTTGGTGGAACATATTTGGTTATATACGCCATGCATAAATTTGCCATGCAAGATCTTGAGAGTTGCAGAACGTTTTGGAAAGTCAAGGCAAGGCGAATTGCCCGATTCCTGCCGACACGACCGTTCAAGCGCTAGCAGATCTCACGCTAGTCGAAGGCAGGATAGCTGGGGAAGCGTAGTATTTATACTCCAAAGGGAAGCAGATGATCATTGTTGGATTGATTATGCACCACCAATAAGGCGAGTTCGTGCAGGCAATCCTCGGGTGAGAGTCCCCGTTAGACCCTGCTAGCCTCCCCATCAGCCGCAGCCCATTTTCTCCATTCATGGGCCCCTTCTGATCCACTACTGTTGCTTTCCATTACTTATATGCTGATGCAACAATCAGAGAATCCAAACGGTAATCGACCAAGCAAAGTTGACCAAACGCCATTCTCAAGCCGTAACCATGGCACAATTCCATGTGATCATCCTTGTACCTTTACTCATCTTCGCCACCGTACGTATCTATGAAACGTTGCGTGCTTACACAGCCCGCTCATCACTAGCTCAAAAGAATAACTGCAAGCCTCCCAAGAAGTATCCACACAAGGAACCCATACTAGGCCTGGATCTCTTCTACTCCATGGTCCAATCTGCGAAGAAGGGGCACTCTCTGAAATCTCTCGTACAGCTCCACGAAACATATGGACGAACTTTTCAAGCTACCTCTTTTGGAGAGACTATCATCAACACCACCGAGCCCAAGATCTTGACAACGGTGCTGGCAACGAAGAGCGAGAATTTTGGCGTTTGGTCTATCAGAGCCCCTCCGGCGACTCCTTTAGTTGCTGGAGGCGTCTTCACGACTGATGGTGCTGACTGGGCCCATTCACGGGGACTGATAAAGCCTTGCTTTGCTAGAGCTCAAGTCGCTGATCTGGTTTCGTTGAAGGTGCATGTCGACCGGCTGGTCGAGTTGATTCCCAAAGATGGATCAACGTTTGACTTGCAGACATTGTTCTCCCGCCTTGTGAGTTTTTGAATTCCTCTTTCAAACGGGACGGTTAAAGGCGGATGGCCTAATCTACGGTAGTCTCTCGACAGTTCCACGGGATTCCTATTCGGCGAGTCACTAGACTCGCTGCTCGAGACGAATTCGATCGAAACAGAAAAGTTCCTCAGTTCTTTCAATACTGCTCAATACGGCGTAGGCGAAAGGGTCCGTTTAGGCAAACTACGTTTCCTGTACCGAGACAAAAGGTACACAGAAGCTTGCAAGTCTGTGCACAGTTTCATCGACAACTATGTTGTGAAGGCTGTGAACAATAAACCTGAAGAGGAAGGAAACAAATCGGAGCCCACAAACCCCCAAAGGAAGCGTTATATCCTGCTAGACGAGATGGCCAAGGTCACGAAGGACACAACGGATCTGCGGTACCAAATCTTGAGCGTCTTTCTCGCAGGCCACGAAGCAACTGCGGTCGCTCTTGGTAGTATCTTTTTCCATTTAGCTCGCAACCGTGCGATCTGGGATAGGCTGCGATCTGAAGTAAAGGCTGTTGGTAATGCACCATTGACATTCGAGCTCTTAAAGAGTATGCAGTACCTACGCTACGTGATATCGGAGAGTAAACAGACAGCCTTCTCAATAGCCGGAAAGCCAACCAGCTGACCGCGCCCAGATCTCCGTCTAAACCCGGTCGCACCGTTGATGAGCCGCATGTGCTTGCGCGACACGGTCCTTCCCGCCGGCGGTGGCCCAGATGGTGGTGACCCACTCCTTGTCACCAGAGGTCAGACCATCGCTTGGAGTACGTACGCTTTGCACCGCGACTCATCATTCTGGGGCGCTGATGTCGAATCATTCCGGCCGGAGAGATGGGAAGATGTCCGTCCGAGGTGGGAGTACATACCGTTCGGTGGCGGAACGAGAATCTGTCCCGCTCAACAGCTCGCCTTGACAGAGATCGGTTACGTCGTCGTCCGGCTTGTGCAAACGTTTAAGACTCTGGAGAACAGGGATCCCAAACCGTGGGAGGAGCTGCTGAAGATGACGCTCGTCAGCAAGAATGGGGTTCAAGTGGGGATGTTCCCGGAGTGAGTGTGCCTTGGAAGGCGTATCCCCTGCTTTTTATGCTTCGGGTCAAACTGCATCTTTGTCTCTTTGGCTCCAGTTATACGAAAGTTTGCCTTAATGAGCCGATCTAGAAAATAAGTATGTGAGATATTTCTGGGATCATACCATGGAATAATATATATATAAGATATCCCCACTGAGATTTTTTTTTTTTTAAAATAAACCAACAAAAAAATAAAAAAAATTTTTTTTTTTTTTTTTAAAGGGGGGGGAAAAAAAAAAAAATTTATTTAATATTTTTTTTTTTTTTTTTATAATAAAAATAATAAAAAAAAAAAATAAAAAAAAATTTTTTTTTTTTTTTTTAAAATAAAAAAAAAAAAAAAAAAAACTAAATTTTAAATCTTTAAATATTATAAGAATAAAATTCTATAATTATCTCTATTTATATATTTATCTTAACGCGTTAAATAAGCTTAATAAACTTTATATTTATTCTTCTCTCAAACTTTAATTTACTCTTTTATTTTACTTTATTTTAATTCTTCTAAATATCTTAAATCTATCTTTATCTAATTAAATTTATTAACTATTTATAGATAAATTCGCTTCTTAAATTATCTTAGATTTCTTTTTTAAAATTAGATCTATTATTACTAATTCTCTCTAATTATAAGTTTATTAATTATTTCTCTATATATTATAGAGTATTAATAATATATTTTAATAAATTTATAAATATTAGACTTATCGAAATATTTTTTATAAGCTTATTATCTTCGCTAATATAATTATTATAAATATTAACTAAGTTTTTATATAAAGTACTATTAGCTCTTTTAATTTAATTCGATATATTAAGATTTTCTTTAAAATTAAGTCTAATTTATTTAAGCTTATTTTCTTAATATTTTATATAAAGAATTATTATTAAAGTACGAAATATTATTAGTAAATAATACTTTTAAATATTATAATATCTTTTAATTATTAAAAAATATCGCTTATATATAATAGTCTTCGCGAGAGAATAAAGAATATTATAAGCTATTTAAGCGACTATAGCGTATTTAAGCTCTAATTTCTTTTATTACTTTAAAATTAGAAGATTCGCTAGATTATTAAAAGAAGCTTTATAAAGATTAGAAGTAAGATTATAACTAGAATAATAATTAGAAGACTTATTATTTCTTTTATATTACTAAAATTAATTATATCTATTCTTATTATCTAAATTCTTAATCTCAAATTTTATCGCTTAATTAAGTATATTTTTATTTAATTAACTTATTCGCTTAACTCTTTATAATTAATTACTTATATTAATATTTTAATAATTTTAAAATATCTTTTTAAACGCTTTTTAGTAGATCTTTATTTATAGCTTCTTTTTAATATTAATCTTTTAATTTAATTTTTTTAACTTTATATTATTATAACTTAAATATAAAAGCGTAGCTTATTTATATAGATAGTTTAAATCTAATTAAATTTAACTATAATAAATAGTTAATTTCTTATAAACCGTCTTAAGAGTTTTAAAAAATTCTTTTTTTAAGAAACTCTCTTTCTTCTTAATTTTCCGAGTTTTTTATCTATATAGTTAAATAGATAATTATAAATATTAAAGACGTAATAAATTATAACCTTTTTTTCTCTATTTATTAATTTTATAAATTTATAAAAAGATCTAATAAGCTAAATTAAATATTAAATCTATTAGAAATTAATCGAAAATTATTTAGATATCTAAATTATAATTTTTATTTATAATTATTTTTTATTACTTAATCTTAAATAGATAGTTAATCTATTTTTTAAGAAGTATATAATATTAATATAAAGAAGTAGAGCGCGGATTAATATCTAATAAATTAAATTTTAACGAGTTTTAATATTTTAAAAGAGTTTAAAAAGATATCTCTAATAATATTACTTTTTTTTAGAAGATTAATATTTATCTAATATTAAAATATTTTTATCTTAAAGTTATTTAGCTTATAATATAAAAAAGATTTTTTTACGCTAGTCGTTAATATTAATATATATAATAATTTTTTAAATCTTAATATAATTAATAATATAATAATTAGAATAATAATAAGAAATATTATATTTTTATTAAGATTATCGATAGATTAATTATACTTACTTAAACTTAATTCTTATCTTCTTTATTATTTTAGCTTCTCTAAAATTTCTTATTTATTAAAATAATTCTAATATTATCTAGAAGTTCTTTTAAAATTAATTAAATAATATATATTATATAGAGAATATATTATAAATAATTTAAGAACTTAAATTCTCTAATATTAAGCGGATTATCTATTATAAAAATAGAAAGATAAATAATTAAATCGTCGAAGAGTATATTATTATTACTAGCGTTATTAGTTATAAATTTAAATATATAAAATACAATCTTATATTCTATAAGAATTAAATTAATAATATTTATAAGTTTTTAATTAATATATTTATCTTCGATATACTCGAAGTCTATAAGAATCTTATACTATTATTAATTAATATTAATAAAAAAATTAAGATTATTATAAATAATTAGCAATTATAAAATAATTAATAATTTAAAATTAAAGAGACTTTAATATTATTAACTAATAAATTCTTTAATAATCTCATCTTTAGCTCTATAGCTTTTCTTATTAATCGATTCTTTATAATAAATATTAACTTTAATTATATATTAGAATTAAAATAGCGTAAGAGTTATAATATTTTAGAATTATTAGTAATCGCAAATAAAATACTAATATTTACGATTTAGTAATAAAATTATTTTAGAAAATCTTCGCGTATAAGCTTTCGATCTTCTAATATTATAAGAAAATTTTAATATTATCTTTTCTAGAGTAAATAGTAAACTAGATATTTTATTTATTATTCTATTTATTAATAATCTATATCGTCTAATTTAGAAATATATCTAATTTTTATAATTATCGATTAAATTCGTTTATTATAAACTACTTAAATTAGATTTCTTAATATATTTCTTAAACTTAATATATATTATTATATCGCTTATTTCGTAATCTATAGATAAGTGAATTAAAATCTTATTATAGTAATAATAAATAATATATAGCTCTCTAGAATCGACGAGCGTATATTTATTAAATTATATTTATTTCTAGAATTTCTTAATTTCTAAGCCTTAATAAATAAGTTAATAATCGCTATTAGATTTAAACTAATTCTATATAATCTATACTATCTTTATCTACTACTATATTTATTATTTCTTATTATTAATATTAAAAAGAAAGTAAGATTTATTATTATTTTTATATCGAAATATATTTATTAATATCTTATATTAAGTATCGTTAATTAAGAAAGTTAAATTTACGCTAAATAAAGGTCTAGTTAATATCTTAAGATTAAGATATTTAAAGAGAAATTAAAAAGATACGTAAACGAATAAAATATTAGAAATAAAATAAAATTAATATTTAATATATAAATTCTATCTTCTCGCTATAATAGAAACTTATATCGCTTTAATAACTTATATCGCTTTAATAATATATCGCTATATTATTCTCGATATTTTAAATTAAAAACTAACTCTTTCTAATTAGCGTTATAATTAGTAATTATATATTTAAAAATATATAATAACGCTAATATAAAATTAATATTTAATTTTATTAATTTAAAACTCTAAATAGTCTAGCTATTAACGCTTCTCTACTTAATATAATATATACTCTATTTACTTTAATATTAGTATTTATTTATTACTATATTATTTTAACTATTAGAATTAAAGATTATATCTATTTAATTAATATTTTAATCGCTAATTATATTAATAAAAGTGTATATTAATATTTTAAAATTATTAAATTTATTTTATTAGATATTAATATAGAATTAAAATTTAATTTAAGCGCTTTAATAATTTAATTAACTAGATTAGTTACTATCTAAATCTTTTATATATAAAAATTAAATCTTTTATTGCGTTAAGATTATTCTTAAATATTAATATCTTTCTTATTAATATAACTCTCTTTTATTTAAGTAATATTATAATATCTTTTACTTAAACGTTAAAATATTAAAATATCGCGTTCTCCGCTTTTAATTAAGTAATATTATCTTTAAATCGATATTTTTAATTTTATAAAAATAGTAATTAGTTTATTATAGACGAAGACGAAAAAGAAATAATATCTTCTTCTATTTTTATAGTAGAAGAAGAGAAGAAAGTAAATAAATTAATTATAAGCTATATATAACTCGATATCTAAGAATAACGAATTAGTAAAGTTATAATATTAAAATAAAGAGCTCTTCTTATAACTAATAAATATAAGATTAAATAAAAATTAATTAAATTAATAAGATTATCTTTAATAAATATATCGCGTATATAAAGAATATCGAAATATACGAAATATAAGAGAGGGCGTATATATATAGCTATAGATATTTAAAGTATATTTAAAATATAAAAAGAAGCGCTTATATATAGCTCTACGATATATATTAATAAAAAAAAATTAATCTCTTTTTCTAATTAGCTTTCTAATTAATATTTAAACTTAATTTATTTTTAAATAATATTTTATTCTAATAAGATTTTAGTTATATAATATTAATTAGCTCGATAATAAATACTTAATATTATTCTTTTCTAATTCATCCTCTTCTTTCTTAAAAATACTTTTTATTATTATAATATTTATATTATAATATACTTATTTATTATAATACTATTTATATCTAGAGAAAATAAAATTATTTTCTTTATACTTTATAGTTAAATTAAATTAACGATATTATTTTTATAAAGTAAGTATATATCTAATAGCGTTATATCTCTTAATATAATAATTAATTATAATACTAATTATAATTTATTAATATATAATATTATTATTTATTAAAGCTATTAACTTAATAATTATAAAAATTTAGAAAATTACTAATAATTTATTAATTACTAATTTAGATTTATTTAAATTATTAAAGCGAAGTAAAAATAAAAC